TGTGACATCATCCCCCAGCTGCTGCTTTGTGAGTTGTTCTGCGCTCACAGACGGGACAGAAGAAACTGCGGGGAGAAACGGTAAAAACTGCGTTTTATAAGGAAAGCGCTCAAAAGCACTGAGCCAAAACAAAATCAAAACAAAACCACCCTTTCCTATTGGTGGAAAAATGTACCATGTCCACTAATCAAAAAACAATTTAGTAAAAGTTGAGTCACAATGCAGAAGCAGTATGTGAAAAACTATACTCTTACTGTTTCCATAGGAATTAAAAGGGTAAGAAGCAGTCATTTGCTGCTAATAATTTAATGCAAATTGACTTATCGTCAGCTAGTGTTGACCATGTCTATAAAATCAGGAGGTTTTGCAGGTCTGAAGCTTTAAGATGTTTGTTAACACACATCAATCTGGGAAGGGTTATAAGGCCATTCAAGGCAGAAGCCATTGTTCACCCCACGGTTGGTAGCTACAAAAGCCAACTGTCAAGCAGGGTGGTGGAGGATGAATCATTGTTTCAACACTATATTTGTTTTCATAAACAGACAAGAAGACAACAACAATCTGCTCCTCGCATTCAACACATGTCAGTCCATATCCCAGCAAACTAAATCATCTCCATTTACACACATCAAATAGAAACACGAACCACTTGTAATGATTAGAAACTTGATGAATTTCAAATCTGGTTTGGGGAGTCATTCAGTGAGAAACAGTGGAATGATTTTCAATGTGAATAGGTGGACAGCAGGAACAGTGAGAACTAAAAAAAGAAACAAAGGGCTTTGGAACCAAGAGGCAGCAGGAGGACAGCTGCAGTTTAACAGCTTCAACTCACTGACAGGAAACAACATGAGAAATATAATCATCCACTGACACCTCCAACGGCAACACCTTCACATCATCCCCAGTTTGGATAAATGGAAACATCCTGTGAGCGAAAGTGTGTGTGAAGGTATGTATGTGTGTGTTAGTATTGGGGCCAGAGAACGACAGCTTTCCACTGTTCCAGTCCAGATTCACTCTGATCCTCTGGAGCTTCTTCTGAACTGAGAGAGCAGTGAATCCAGCTGATGGTGAGCGTGTTCAGTATTTACCTAAACAGACCACTACTCCCCAAAACCCAGACTCTGTGTTTCCCTTCCT